GGAGCTGTGAGTTGGGTCTCTAAACTACAGATTGTTATAGCATTATCCACAACAAAAGCTGAGTACATGGCAACTACACAAGCTTGTAAAGAAGCAATATGGATGAAGAAACTTATGGAGGAGCTCGGGCACAAACAAGAGAATATTCTTTTGTATTGTGATAGTCAGAGTGTTTTGCATATTACAAGGAATCCAGCATTTAATTCAAGAACAAAACATGTAGATGTTTAGTATCACTTTGTTTGTGAAGTGGTGGAAGATGGAAGTGTGGATTTTCAGAAGATTCACACAAAGGAAAACCCAGCAGATGCTTTAACAAAACCGGTTAACACTGATAAGTATATATGGTGCAGATCCTCTTAAGACCTAGCAAAAACGTAAGCAACATGAAGATGGCAAGTATAGAAATGATAGAAGAATCACAAAAGATCAAGTGTGAAGACTTGATTAACTCATCAAAGTCTTCAAGTGGGAGAATGTGAAACCACCTAAGCATTGTTGACAAAGTCAACAATGTTAGGCACCGATTGGTGCTGCAAATTCAACATTGTTGGGCACCAATTCGGTGCCACTTGCAGCACCAATTGCTGCCCTTGATTCATGCATGGATGTTGCCTATAAATAGGCAAAGCATCCAAGCCTCAATACAACAACTTAATAGGGAAAAATTGAGAGCAAATAGAGAGAAAGAAGAGAGGGTGAAGAGAGAGTATCCCACAAAATTGTGAAGTATTTGTGATATAGTAAGTGAGGTGTTTTCTCCTATTATAAGAGAGATTTCAGTTATTCTCTTATTAATAGAGAAAGGTTGTAATTTTCATATTATTTAGTAAAATTCTTCTATACTTGCCTGTGGATGTAGCCCAATTGGGTGAACCATGTAAATTCTTGTATGTCATTTCTCATTTTATCTTGTTCCTTTATCTTTTTTATCTTGTCGGTTTTGCATGCCAGTATTCTAACAAGTAAGAATTATGCAAGCAGATGCACGGCATGCGAACTGCTGCAAATAACACCTTCAGTAAACAAAAGCATCTTTGGCAAGCTTTCACTCTGAGGAAGCCTGATGTATAATGCTTTCACCATTAAGAGCAATTTTCAGTAGTTGCTTTTTCTCATTGCTGATATTGCAGCAATGAGTGCTTCAATCACCAAAACCAAAATAACCACCATTTTGAACAACCTGCAACTTTTGCATGTAACTAGAGAACCATGTATTGGAAATGAGTTCCAAAGAGTAATCAAACCTTATTATGGAAAAGAGATTTCATTCAGGTATACAACTGTTTCTGCCAAAGCACGTAACTCTGTGGTCTTCAGATGCTACACTAAAATTTCTCGAGTTCAAAATGGAAAAATCACAATATAATTGCAACAGATAAAATATTTTGCTACAAGAATACACTAGCTATGCAAAATGAAAAATGGATATACCAGTGGAGCATCTAACTGACTCATTTATCCTAACCTTGATTTCCAAGGGAGAGTAACAGAATCGGTGCTTAGAATCCCAGGCAGATTAAAGTCTTTAAAATTCTGTAACTAATCCAGATTCAATAGGAGGTTCGCTCCTCAGTAGCAGTAACGCTAAAGACTAGACCAACAATTTTGTATCAGGGTGGGGAATACAAGAAAACTTAGCATATTGCAGGCATACAAATAGATAGCAATTGCTTGAAAAACATCTTGCATGGAAAAACAAATGCAATCAACAAGCAAAATAATAATACCAGCAAGAACAAACAGAGGCACGCTGACATGTGGTCAGATAGTAGGTCCTATATAAGACTAACCGGAAAAAATTTATATAATCAAAGCGTTGAAAAATGAACTATGGTCATTACCATTGAAGTTTCAAAAACAGGAGAGGCTTCGGTCAAATATCACTAAATTGCTGGCTGACCATCCAAGTACGTTATAGCTCTCAGCCAATAAAAATCTCAATCCCTAAAAACGTATCTCAAAATTATGCTATAATAACTGTGTACTCTGATATTCCCTTACTTTAAACCACACAAGTGTCACCATAGATGAACAAAGAACTTTGTAACTTCAATAAATAAGCAAAAACACGAGGAACGCCACATGTTAACTATATAAATTAATACTTCCTCAAGCCCATAACAAGTGTACTTTGGACATCACAGAATTTATTATTACTTTTTTTAAATTACAAAAACTTCATTCATAGCCAGTCATTACATACATGATTTTAACGGATCTAAGCATAATGTAGAGAGTCATTACAGACACTTTACCGGTGATGGCGAAACCAGTCACTTACATTACCTTTTTATACAGCATAACATGATTTTTGTTTCACTTTCCTAGCCTTAACCAAACATGGGAAAAAAATGTACAGATACTACTTGTGAGTGGAATTCCTCGTCGATTAGGAAACAAGAAAAGCAAGATGTTTGTATATAAAATACTTGTGTCAAATTTTAAATAAAAGTCCCAGCAAAAAAACAGAAAACAAAAGGCTATATTTTTACTTTCTTTCCTCCTACTTATGAATTTGAAAATGAGGTGGACACTAAGTAAAAGAGTGATGGTGTAGATGCAAAAGACAGAAATCCCAAACATTCACAAAGGTACTACTAGTAAAAAGACAACGTAGAAAACTATGAAGCTGATTATGCTATTGAAAACAATAAAGGAGGACAAGTATTTTATTTCGTCCTAAGTGCACAACAACAATCTAATAAATTTTGGAATGTTAATAGCACTTTCATTAAACCAGATGATATGTCTTCAGATTTAAAGATCATAGATGGAAAGTGTCTAGATATAAAAGTATGATTTTTTATATTCTAAAAGTTCAAGCAAAAAGTTACATCTTTTCTAATTTGAAAAATGAATAAGGGAATGATTTTTTCACAGCATTCTAAGCCACCATTCATCTTTTAGGATTTGAACTAATTACTTGAATTTCCAACCTGGAAATAACGTCCAAAAAGAGAAAAGGTAACATCATTTCGTGAAGCACCAACACCAGACATGTTAACCGATGATCTATTTAGCTTCCGAATTCCAAGAAGCATATTTTGACAGTATCTGAGGTGATACAGAGAAGCCCCAAATTTGTTCGTGCATGTAGAACACTGATTGCACCACAATTTGCTGGGAAAACTAATAACAACCGGATATCAATTTATCCATATTAATGTAGTGGAATATAATTCATAAATCATAATCTTTTTCTTTTTTTTGTAATTAAAATCAATATCAAACAATCAATAAATATAAAGCAACAATCACACAAATCAACATCAAAATTTTTATATGAAAAATCCAATGCGGGAAAAACTATGGAACCGTAGTCCACTTAAAAACCTCCACTATCAACAAATAATGGATTCACAATTGTTCTTTCTTATATTCAACTAAGAGCTACAATATACATATCATCAATAACAACCTATTCTTGGAATACAACAAGATTAAAGAGAAGTATTTGAGAAAAAAACTCACAATATTAACAGTCTTGTTTTCTGTCAAAACAGTCAGCTTCCACACCACCAATCTTCGATCAACCATTCAGAATGAAGAGTAATGTGTCTAAAAGCTGTTGTCAAAATCTCAATCTAATTCAATGGTGAACGAGCTGAAAATCAAGGAAAAAAGACAAACTATTCAGCTGCCTCTTCTTCCTTTCTTTTTCTCTTCTCTCTTATTTTCTTTTTTGTTCAAATTTTCAGCTACATCTACAATATCCGAACCATTTTAATTTAAAGAGGATCAGCTACCTCTCTTCTTAATTAATGTAGTGCTCCCATCATGTCTCATAACATGATGCAAGACCATAAATAATAAATTTTTACTTAAATAGTTTCTATTGTAAAATCTCTGTACAACTTATAGACACCTATTTACTAGCTTCATGATTCAGAGTTGCTCAAATATACCAACAATGGGGCAATGTGGGAGCCTCCAATGCTCCAGTTCAGCATCCAAGTAGTAGAGGACCACAGGAAAAGAACATATAATAAAAGTCATTTTATTCATTCACTACTCCATTAAGGCTTAATGGAATGAATGAACACTGTATGTTAATCTGACTGCAAACTGTACTTAGTCAGAATCTAAATGAGTGACAATACATTTAAAAAAATAAGGCTCTCAGTCACATTAAAACAGAACAAATGAAGGTAAACCCAATTCATTCGTCCAGTTCAAATTATGTCAAATCAAATGGATTCCAAAATGCGATCAACAGGAAAAAGAAAAAATAATAATAATTGGGCTATAAATGCACAATCATAGAGCACTTCAGTCCATGAAATATTCTAATATATATATCCCACAATTTTGATACTCTTTTCCCGCATAAAAAATTAAAAAAAATAATAATAATGGGGCTATAAAAATTTCAAAGCTTGAAGACGAACATATATAGAACGATCACATTCATGCTTAAGCATTTAATTTTCCTTTGTTCCATTAGATCACATGCATGTCCAGGAAGATATATTAAGAAGCAACTAGAAATTAAGGAGTTCCTATGAGCTTCCTTAATGGTGATCATAATTCAGGGATCTGGTTATGAGCTTAGGCGTCGCAATTAATGGGGCATTAACATCTTTCAAGTTAGACCAGCACTGGGTAATGACAATTATACATGATCTAGACCAGCCTTCATCAAACAATTTGAAACAATTATATCTTTCTTTAATTTTTTGTTCCAAAAACTAACGAAAGTTAAAAAAAAAATTCACATGGTTTTAGTACAGATTAGGGATGAGTAAAAAAACCAAAAAACCGATTAAACAGAAAAAATCAGAAAATCATAACCAGAAAAACCGAATCATGAAAAAAACATATTAAAAATTAAAAAAAAAAAACAATCAGTTCAGTTCAGTTTTAGTTTTATAAACCTGAAACTAAAAAAACCGAACCCAAATCTAAAAAACAAACCAAACCAGAAAAAACTGAGTCAGACCAGAATTAATCTGTTTGAACCAATATCGGTTCGGTTTTAGTTTTTTTTAAAAACCAATTTAATTGTTTTTTTTTATAAAACCCAAACTAAAATAATCACCTCCACAAAGTTACGACCTTTTCAAACTCACTATTTACAATCTTTCAATCAAATCTTGCTAATGGTTCTACATACTTGAATTGTTATCCAAGTTTCACTATCTCACTATTCAACCTAGATATTATAGTGAAAACTTTAACTCTAAATATTGAGACTTGTTAAGACACCAACTGATATGCTTCAAGATTCCAAAAATATAGTCATCATCTATAGAATATATTACAAAATCATGGATACAAACATTGCTCCAAAAGCTCTCAAAAAATCTTCTATAAATTAAACTCTTCGAATTGAACCTAACTCTCAAAATTCAAACAATTAAAGTTCCTAAACTTTGATAATGAGATCAAGTCACGTACAATGATAATTGGAAATTACCTCCCGTCAGTATTCCGAAGTCATTACCATCTAGAAAATGATTATGTTCCAACTTGCCTAGTGCCTTTTAGAATTTAAAAAAAAAATGCCATAAGTGCAGTTACCTTATGAAAAAGGTTTTAATGAAAAGTAAATCCCTGCAAAGGAAACACCAATTCAAATGAATAAAAAGAAATACTAAAATATTATTAAAAAAACAACTTAATGAATTTCTTAAAAGTGCCTTACAAGTCCTAGTAAATCATCATGGTTGCGTGCTGCCTTTTTATGTCTAAAATCAAGTTGAAATAAAATGAAATGCACTAAGATATGTCATAAATCACAAGCCCCTCAACAAAGTGCTCCAATATATTAGATATCCAATACACAACAACAGAGATCATATCAGAAGACTTTAAAATCCTTCAATAGATTCAAAATTTGATATGAAATCGATATTCTAGCAAGTTTAAATAAAAAGAAAAAAAACCCAATATCATTACAAAACAACAATCATTATTTTATTCGGTCATCACAAATGAAATGTAATGTCTTTCAAACTAAAATATACTCCTTCAAAACTTCATAGCATCATGAATGATATTTTTCATATTCAAAATTT